TATTTTAAAAAAGCATTTGACAAAGTAAGACATGAAAAATTAGTCCAAATTCTAAAGACAAAAAACATAAACCACATGGACTTACGAATAATAACAAATCTCCACTGGAATCAAAGAGCACAAATCGTAATAGATAACGAACCCAGTCCAGAAATTGAAATCAGGAGAGGAGTTGAGGGATGTATTATGTCCCCATTACTATTTAATGTATACAGTGAAGCCATTTTTGAAGAAGCATTACTATCTCAAAGTGAAGGAATAATAATTAACGGAAGATCTATTAACAACATAAGATATGCAGATGACACCGTGATTATGGCATGCTCTGCTGAACAACTCCAATTACTGCTAAACAAAACAAACAGTTTCTGTGAAAAATATGGACTAAAAATGAATATAAAAAAGACCAAATACATGATAATAACGAAGAAAACAAATATATCAACAAACATACATTTGGGAAATGTACCGATAGAAAGGGTTGATAAATACAAATACCTAGGAACCTGGATTTTAGAAAATAATGATCAAACAACCAAAATAAGAGCTAGGATAGAAATAGCAAGAAATGCGTTTATAGCTGGTCATTGAAGCAAGAACACATAAATAAGTTACACTCCTTTGAAATGTGGTGTTACAAGAGGATGCTTAGAATAGCATGGACACAAAAGAAAACTAACACGGAAGTATTGCGAGAAATGGGCAAAGAATGAGAAATAATAAACACAATAAAAATAAGGAAGTTACAATATCTGGGACACGTAATGAGGGGACAGCGATATGAACTGCTAAGGCTGATAATACAGGGAAAGATAAGAGGAGGAAGGAGTATAGGAAGAAGGATAGTGTCATGGTTGAAGAATTTAAGGGTCTGGTTTAAATGCAGTTCTATAGAACTCTTCAGAGCAGCAGTAGATAAAGTAAAGATAGTGATGATGATATCCAACCTCCGATTGGGAGACGATACTTACAGAAGAAGTGTCTCGACAGGGTAGGTCATTGACACAGGTACAATTGCATTACATTACATTACGACAATATGCAGTTATAATTACATTACGATCCATAACGATCAACTACATTATTACATTAGATTTTGGTACAATTAATAGTTTTCATATTCTTAACTGAACATGGATAAAAATAACTCAGGAAACAGAAGAAAAGAAAAAGAAATTGGGAAAACCGAAATTAGAAGCATACAAAATAAAAGTCATCATCATCATTGGTGCTACAGCCCTATAAAAGAGCCTCGACCTTCCCCAGTCTATTACGCCAGTCAGTTCTATCCATTGCCAACTGTTGCCAGTTTGCTGTGCCTATTTTTCTACCATCCTCATCTACACCATCTCTCCATATGAGTTTTGGCGTACCCCTACTTCTACTTCCCACAGGTTGTGACATATGGATTCTCCTAGGAGGGTTGTTCTGCTGTGATCTTGCTGTTCATCTTAGTCTACATATTTTTATAAGAGATACTACGTCTTTATCACCAAATATATATTTATATCTGTGATATATCTCGTAGTTGTCCTTCTCCAACCACAATTTTCACAAATGATACCGAATATTCTTCTTAGGATCCTTCTTTCAAATATAAGCAGGAGGTTTTCATCTGCCTTGGAAATGGTCCATGTCTCTGATCCATATGTCAACACTGGTTGTATAAGGGTTTTGTTTTTTGGCCTAAGTTTCTGCTTCTCATATGTCTACTCAATCTAAAATAGCATTTGTTTACTAGGATTATTCTTAGCTTGATTTCTTCCATCATGACGTTCTCCTTCTATCTAATTGTTGCATACCCTAATAAATCGTTAGATAATCCGACAAATAGTAATAATAATAGTCATATGGAGTACTCTACTTTACATGTTCAAGATTATTTTTGTCAGGAGCTTATGACAGATAATTTGGGCGAAAAAACTTACAGTGTGGTAGATCCTGTATTTTACATTGACCAAAATATCTTAGATGACCAAGCACATGAAAATATATAAATTGAACTCATCAATCAACGTTATGATTTTAGTCCAGATAAAATCGATGGAATCACTAATAAGCATAACACGAATATACTGTAAAAAGCCAATAACAGTGATGAATATTTAGTTATAGAAGAGCAAAATCTAGAAGGAAACTATTCACTAGAAATTAATGGATCTGTACACCATACACGACCAGAGGAATGCCAAGGTGAATTAAACTGTCAAGGTAGGCATATTATTTTCTTCTTCTTCTTCTTTCTACTTTACAAATTTGCTCAATGCCTGTTATACTTCGGTTTAAGCTTCAATTTATGTTGTCTGACCATCTTTTCCTCAGTCGTCCCAATGAACTTCTTCCATGTATCGATTTGTGTCTTGCTATTCTTATTATTCTATCATATTAATACAATTTTGTTATGTAAAAATGTAAGCTTATTTTGTCTTTTGTTGTTGCAGATGACCTAAATAAAATAGAAGATACTGAAGGACACCATGACTTAGAAGAAAATGAAAATGCAGTGACCAAGTCTCCCATTAATAAAAAAAAGAAGAAAAGGGTTCAACTCAGGAAGTTGGAAAAGAAGTGTGACAAAAAAATTTAAGAATGTGCGGCGAACAATACATCGGCTATCAAAGATCCAGTACTGGTGAAGTAAGAGCATTAATTTTAAGACCGCAAAGAGAATTATCACAAGCATACGAATCAGAGGCCTGCAAGAAAGCAAAAAATAGACATTGCTCGGAATTTTCAGAAAACGAATGTAAATTAATATTTAATAATTTTTGGAAAAATATGAATTGAAGTGAAAAGAAAATATATGTATATTTATCGAAGACAAGAAGTTAAGCTGGCAAAGTATCTAGAAGACAAGGCACTTATTACTACTATTTAAGGAATAAAGACAATGTCAAATTCAGAGTATGCAAAAAGATGTATTTGAGTACACATGGTCTAAAAGAAGATATGGTACACGATTGGTTAAAAGGAATGGAACATTAGCTTAATTCATTCTCGTCTGCGTTAATCAAAGATGCATTTCAAATAGTAACAAATTTGTAACAACTTAGACAACGAATTTTGTAACAACTTACACAAGGTGTCTTCGCACTATTGTAGAAGAGAAACCTCAAAGTTGTATTTGGAGCAATTCTTTCAGACCAAACAGGATATATATCAAGAGTATCGAAAATATTGAGAAGATAACATGAAAGTTAATTTGATAGTCAGTAATACATTATTTGATAACACTTTTTCTGATATGAATATCTCACTGTACAAACCACGTAAAGATCTATGTAATATCTCTTGTGGTTACAAAACAAAAAACATTGAATAAAAATTGTACCATATACATCTTGAGAAAAAAAAATGCAGCAAGAAAAGAAAAAGACGCAGACAAGCAGCTAGCCATTCAAGGTTCTATCTACGCTTTTTTCATGGACATGCAAGCAGTTAATATATGTCCAGTTATTAACGTAAGTAAGCTTTATTACAAAACAAAACTTGAAGTCCATAATTTTACAATTTATAATTTGGCATCACACGAATGTACAAATTACTGGTAGGATGAGTCAAAATTATTCAAGAGAAGTGTGTCAAAGACATTCCGATAGTTTTATATTCTGATGGATGTTGTTACCAAAATAGGAATTGTGTGATTTCTATTGCTTTGCTAAATTATTCAATTCAGAAAGGTGTCACGATAAAGCAAAAATATTTAAAAAAAGGGCACACTCAAATGGAGTGTGACTCTGTCCACTACTTGATAAAAAGAAGATTAAAAAACTGTTTCATTGTACTGCCAAGTGATTATGTACGACTCACAAAAGAAGCAAGAAAAAACCCAATGTCATTGGAAGCTCTCTTTGTAACTCATGAGTTTTTCAAGGATTTCTCAAATAAAAAATCATGGATTTACAAGAGCATTCGTCCAGGCAAGAAATCAAATGATCCCACTGTCACCGATTTGAGACACTTGAAATATGACCACCGCGAAAAAAAAATATTCAATATAAAATTGATTTTAGTCATGAACTGCAACCATCACCAGCCAGATATCTAAAGTATCCCAAAAGTGTTATCTATGACTCACTACATAAAGATCAAACAGAAAAAGTGGCAACATTTGCAAGAAATAAAGTCTGTTTTTCCTCAGGATTGTCATGCATTTTATGACAATTTACCACACTCCCCATAAATAAATATTATTAAACATTCATTTTTTATTGATTGCAATTTTTTCTTTTACTCATTATACTTTTACCTTGGCATTTTTATATTATTATTTTTTATTAATGATTAAAAACATTGTTTATTTATTTGTTAGTTTATATATCAGTTTCATCCCCATTATCAAACATCTATCATTTAAGTAAGTTCATAATACTACCTATTTAACCAATTTCGATTGATCACTGCAATAGCTTGTATCTCATTTTTTTTGTACCTAATCACTTTCAATAGCCTCTATCTACTGTATAATAAATATATAAAAAAATTAAAAACAAAGGATGGTTGACCTTCAGTACAATCCAAACAAGTAAAATTAAAAATTATTTTGAATTTGTACCTGTATTAACTTGTAGAAACAGAAAAATGTTTCTCCTGCAAACTTACGTTTAACTCACTTACAGGGTATTAGAAAGAGACCGTCAGTATTCTGATGTAAAAACCTATGGATATAAATTCATCAGGCACAGTCTGAGAGAAAAATTTAAATGCAAATGTGAAATAATAAATGTTTGAACTATTTTTCAATGTTTAACAAAAAAGGTACTGCATAAAGCTTACAAACTACATTATTTAATGAGCAATATACAAATAAATGATTCCTTCAGCTCCCAATGACCATATGTCAACACACATTAACTGTCACTGTTTCAAAACAAATTAGACAACTATTAGAGAACCAACTAAGTACATCCAAACTGTATTTGCCTAGAGAAATGGATTTTATTTTACATTGAGTATCTTTGTAGTGCATTAAAATTTATAAGATCATAATAAAAACTTACTTATCCACTAAAGTAGCAATAACCCCTAGGGTTTCCAGGACTAATTTATCCACATATGCAGCATCTGGAAGTTTTGTTAGCTTAAATGGATACTGCGGGCTAACCGGGGAAAGGGGCTGTATGATGTTATGGGCTTGAAGACTGTTGGGTGACTGTGGTATATATGTATCATGATCTTCATTCTTTTGTTTGCACCAACAAATACCCATCACGTCTAATTAAACTTGGAATTATTTAAATATATTTGGTGGTACTACATAATACAATTAGTTTTATTTATGTTGGAGTAATCATTGACATCAAAATATTAACATTTATATTCCAGTGTCTCACTATCCACTTAAAATGCTGCATTAGGATAAGTTGATTGAAGCCATAAAATAAATACATTAACTATAAAACTTAGATCGTTATCAAAAATTCTATTTAGGTTAATGAGAAAATATAGAAAATGCGAAAAACAGTGTCAGTATCAGTATTTTGGTTAGAAAATTTTACTCTTCTCACTCACTCTATTTTCTCTTGTCAAGTGATACCGTCACAAATGTCATTTATCATTTAGACAACTAAAGTGACATCCTCCTTTGAATTACATTTGCCCCTCAACTGTTACATATTTAAATTTCTTTAATTTTCTTTTCTAAGATATTTCTAAGATTCTTTAAAAAGCAATATAGTAGGTATAATATAAATAATTTCAAAGTTAGTTGATAATTTATTCAACACACCACAGACACGGAAAGGATTAGGAGAAAGTAGTTTTATTTCAACTTTATATTATATATTCATATTTTTTAATAGTAATATAAAATAATTAAGTAATATTAAACTAGCAAATGTCCATTTTTTTATAACAAACCCCGTTTTATATTTAATGAAGTTTAAAATTACATTATATATTAAATATTTTCCTGCAATATATACAACCAGTTTTATAATTTAAAATATCTCTGTAGTGTTACGAAACTTCCTTTTGTCAAGCTCAAGAAACAAAATGACGTCTAATTATTTTTTACTTCTTTCTCTTAATGCTTTCTTTAGTTTTTGGTCCCTGAATCGTATCTTCCAGGAACTAAAAATTTAAATTTGTTATCCACGACCAATTTCAAAAACTGAGTGACGTTCATATGTACTCATCGTACATATCTCTGGGTATTATACATACCTACGCCACAGAATAATAAACAATCAGAATGCCCACTCTGCTTTAAAAATAGGTACGCGCATCTCGTTCGCGCCGACGGAATCAGCCATGTTTTAAACGGAACCAGTGCTGTTCAGTGACATTTTATCTCGTGTGCATAGACAAATTAAAACGGTTTAATTTATTTACGGCAACTACAGAAATATGCACTATTTTATTCATACTTTTAGTTGAAGAATAGATTAAATTATTTCAAATGTACTAAATTATTAATCCCTAAAAATTTAAATTACAGTTCTGTCGTAGCTTGTCAAAAATTTATCAATTCGAGTCTATGTTTCCGTCTAAAACATGGCGTTTGCGTGCTGACAAACTTCAAAGGCGGCATATGAGCGTGGGCATTCTGATTGTTTATTATTCTGTGCCACCGCTTTTCTGGAATCTGGAATCACAAGCGCAATCTGAAAGAACAAATACCTAAGACAAGACACAAAAACAAGAATCTATAAAGCAGCAATTAGCCTATATTTAGATACACGGCGGAGACAAGACCTGACACATCTAAAACGAGACAGAGACAACAGAGCTAACGAACACATTAGTAGAATGGCAGAGGATAGCATAGTACAAATAGCACGAGATAAGTCACCAAATGGACGATGAAGTATTGTCAGACCAAGAAAAAGGTGGTGCGATAATTTAAACAATTTAGAAGGCTAATATTGAAGAAGAAACAGAAGATGATGAAAAAGAAGAAGATGGAGTGTAATTATCTAGCTACAGAATAGGGCAAATAGAGACGCAGGCTGCCCGAATGAAACAATATGGAGAAATAGAAATATAGAAAAAGAAATGAAAGGCAGAATTTACAAAACAGTCGTCAGACCAATAATGACATACGCGGAAGAAACATGACCTGACACAGCGAGGACAAAAAGAATGTTAGAAACAGCAGAGATGAAAATACTTAGAAACATTTATGTTAAGACACTATGGGACAGAGCTAGAAGTACAGATATTTGACGTAGATGCAAGGTGGAGAACGTCAAGAACAAGGTAAGAAATAGAAGAGTAGATTGGAACGATCTTATAAGCCCAATAACAACAAATAGATTAGTAAAGATGGTAATGGCAATGGCAAATGGTTTTCCAATAAGAAGACGATCAGAAGGAAGACCACGAAAACGATGAAACGATAACTTACTGGAGGCACATTTAAAAACAGACAAAGTGATGTCTACATAAAAAGAAGAAGAAGAAGAAATTTCAAGACGTACAAAGGTACTTCAAAGTCTGAGGAATAGAAAAGCTGTAAGTAAAGATCGGATATCAAATTAAATATTGAAATATTGTCAGGCAGCAATGACGGAACAAGTAACCGCATTAGATAATTAGAAAAATTATAAAACACAATAAAAAAGTAGACAGTATAGAGGACAAGCGCACTACTCATATTATTAAAGTACCTCGTCCTCCCATTTTATTTTTAATCTTACCGTACCTATAAAAATTTTCATTCGGTAGGAATCTATAGAGTTACATCGAGCCGCAAGCTTCCATTTCTTGATATATCGCTTATCTATAAGTCGATCCGATATACCAGCATATTCTAGTTCAAGTAGCAGATCCATTTAGGTTTTATACTACTACTGAAGGTCACGCAGACAAGTTTTTTAGCTAGCCCGTAGAATTTCTGCCGGCTTCGATCGGAACGCTGGTGTATGATCTGGAAAATACTTGAATGGAATAGAATTAGTAATAATATGTTTACAGTTTTATGAGTCATTATTTATCGTAACATATGGTATGAATTATTGTTATCGCGTGTTAATGTGATAAGCAAACTATGGCAATCTCTACAAGTCCATTTGAGCATTACCCTTAAACATTTGCATTTCCATATAACATGATGGACGAAAGAAGAAAATACAGAGGTAAAAATGAAACAACATACAAGCAAATACACAAGAATATCAGAATAAAGATCCAACAAGCCAAAAGAAACCTGGCTAAGTGAAAGATGCCAATAAATTGAAGAGTTGGAACAAAGACATGATACTTTCAATCTACATAAAAAAGTAAAAGAAGCCGCTGAAATATTTAAACAAACTCCTACGACTTTCATCGAAGATAAACATCGGAACCCGCTACTGAACATAGAAGATCAAATAGGTAGATAAGGAAAATACGTGGAAAAGATGTTTCAAGTCCGAGAGAGGACGAACATTTACATGCAGGAGGCATCGACTGGACCTTATATCACAAAGCAAGAAATTATCAAAGCGGCAAATCAGATAAAGAACGGAAAAGCCGTTGGGGAAGATAATATCCCAATTGAAATAATAAAGATATTACTAGACGAACACATCGAAGTAATGGAAGATATATTTAACAAAATATACGAAACAGGCATAATACCAAATGATTGGCTGACATCGGTGTTTATACCACTACCAAAGAAGAAAAACTCCAAGAAATGTGAAGACCATAGGATTATTAGCCTGATGAATCATATATTGAAACTTTTCCTACAAGTAATACACAATAGAGTATACAATAAACTAGACGAACACACTGGTCAAACTCAGTTTGGTTTTAAGAATGGGTTCGGAACAAGAGAAGCACTTTTTTCAATACGTGTGCTAGTTGAAAGATGTAGAGATGTCGATTCTGATGTATACTTGTGTTTTATAGACTTTTAGAAGGCGTTTGACCTGGTGAAACAAGACAAAATAATAGATATTTTAAGGTCATGTAATATCGACGATAAAGACTTAAGGATCATTTCAAACCTCTACCAAGAACAAAAGGCTAAAATCAGAATCAAAAGCGAAACATCTGGAAAAATCAATATCGAGAAGGGAGTAAGACAGGGATGTGTCCTATCACCTTTGCTGTTCAATGTTTACTCTGAGAAGCTATTTCAGAAAGCTTTGGAAGGCTCCTCGGATGGTATAATTATAAACGGGCAATGTATAAATAACCTGCGATATGCTGATGACACTGTCATATTGGCAAATAATGTTGAAGACCTGCAACGCTTAATGGACCGAGTAACGACAGCCTGTAGAGAATTGGGAATGAAATTGAATACAAAGAAGACAAAAACGATGGTCATCAGCAAGCACCAAAAACAGAAGGGTGAAGGTCAATGTCGACGGAACAGATCTGGAAAGAGTAACAAGAACAACGTACCTTGGAAGTAGTCTTGATGAAACTTGGGACCACTCACTAGAGATAAGAATACGCCTGGAAAAGGCACTTACAATGTTTTACAAAATGCAAAAAGTTCTATGCAACCGCCAGCTGGGCATCTCATTGAGAACTAGAATACTTGAGTGCTATGTTTTCTCCACCTTGCTCTATGATGTTGAAGCCTGGACAATGACAGATGCAACACAAAAAAGAATCCAAGCATTCGAACTCTGGTGTTACCGTAAAATGCTCAGAATATCCTACATGAGCCATACGACAAATGCGGAAGTCTTGCGGAGGATGAATAAGGAAAGAGAGCTTATATAATAAAAGAACGGAAAACACAATATTTTGGTCGCATCATAAGAAATCAAAAGTATGAACTGCTCCAACTTATAATCGAAGGCAAAGTCAATAGCAAAAGAGGACCAGGAAGAAGACGCAACTCTTGGCTTAAAAACCTACGGCAATGGACGAACATGTCCTCCATAGAACTATTCAGAGCTGCTACAAATAAGATTAAATGGGCAAATGTAATGGCCAACGTCCTTAAGGATAAGGAACCGTAAGAAGAAGAAGAAAAAATACTCCACACGAATAAATATTAAAAAATTGTCAAGATTTACTCGCACACCTACAAATAATAACTAATTTACCTAACTTTATAACAGAAGTAAAACAGTTGCTTCAATACATTACAGATAATAACTTAAAAAAAATATACCCACATTTCTCATCATCATTTACATCATCATTAGAATATTATTAACAATACCAATTAGTACAGCTTTCAACCTATGATCTTGCGCCGCCACAGAATATGCCTATGGAGTAGAGAAAGGATTACTTAATACCGATATATAAAAAAGGTGACCCAAAATCCAAGGGAAGGGATACCAGTAATTATAGAGAAATCATACTACTAAATCTCTCTCTCTTCAATCCTGACCCCCCAGGGGGAGTGTAGTGGTCGACGTGATGTCCTGTATTGTCCGTCTCCAGAGATCTTTGTCTCTGGTCATTTCTTTTAATTCATGCATAGGTCTTTGGCATATTCCTGTAATTTGATCTATCCATCTTGTTGGGGATCTTCCTCGGGATCTTCGGCCTTCTAACTTTCCTATTAGTTTATTATAGAGTATAGTTATGTTATAGTATTATGAGTCTTTCCATGTTTTCTGTGTTTGCTCTCATAACATGCCCAAAATATTTTAATTGTTGGAGATGGACTTTACTAGAGAGTCGTTGGCTAACTTTTAGCTCTCTTAAAATTGAATTATTTGTTCTACGGTCGGTCCAAGGAATTCGTAACATTCGTCTCCAACAGAAAATTTCAGTGGCGTCTATCTTTCTTTTCTCCTATTGTCTCAGAGTCCAAGATTCACATCCGTAGGTCAGTATTGGGAATATTAAGCAGTTGATCAACCTCATCTTTATCGCTCTTGAAATTTGACATTCCTTCCACATTTGGGTCATTTTTGCTGTAGCAACTTTTGCTAGATCACATCTACGTTTAATCTCTTCTTGAAATGACCATGTGTTTGTGATTAATGATCCCAGATATAAGTATGAGCTCACAACCTCGAACCGGTCAATTGTGGTTATGTGTGGATGATTGTTGTGTAGTCTATCCACTATCATGATCTTTGTCTTTGATATGTTTGATATATTTGACTTTCGTTTTCGATCAGTCGTATAAGTTCCATCAGCTCTGCTTGACTATTTGCAAGAAGGGCTGTGTCATCTGCGAAACGTAGGTTGTTTAGTTTATGACCATTTATTGAGATGCCCTTTTCCCATCCTTCAAGTGCTCTTCGCATAATATACTCCCATATATGTTGAATAATTGTGGAGATAGTATACATCCTTGTCTGACACCCCGTTCTGGATGAAACTCGTTCGAAAGTGTGTCAAGTACTTTAACTGATCCAGTAGTGTGTTCATATAGTTCAGTTATAAGCGTAATTAGATGTTGGGGTACGCCTACTTCTTTTAGTATTCGCCATAAGTGTCTCCACTTGACCCTGTCGAACGCTTTACGGTAATATATAAAACAGATGTATAGTGGGATGTTGAATTCCCTAGATTTCTCGATTATCTGTCTTATATTCAGCAGGTGTTCTCGAGTGCCTCTACCTTTGGTAAATCCAGTTTGCTCTTGTGGAATTTCTCTTTGAAGGAATGTTTTCAGTCTCTCATTGATTATATGTAGCATTATCTTGCTGGGCATGGGATATAAGAGAGATAGTTCTATAATTGTCGCATTTATGGAAGCTGCCTTTTTTATGTATGGTCGTTATTGTGGATTTTTTCCAGTCTTCAGGCCATTGTTTGGAATGCCATATTTGGTTACAGAGTAACCAAATACTACTAAATACTATATACAAAATATTGACAAGCATCTTGAGAAACTTCTTCTTATGGTGCCCTATCCAATTAGTGGATGTTGGCGACAATTTTGGCATACTCCTCTCGATCTTGTGTAGCTCTAAAGAGTGCATGGTCATCGAGGTTTGTCCAATCCCTTATGTTTTTAAGCCATGAGTATTTCTTTCTTCCGATGCCCCGTTTTCCTTCTATCTTTCCTTCCATAATAAGCTTTAAGCACTGGAACTTGGAATTTCGAAATATATGACCCAGATAAGCAGTTTTTCTTCTTTTTACTATTGGCAGCAATTCTCGTTCTCTGCCCATTCGATTTAATACTTCGACATTTCAAATCATGAATGTGTTGCTTGTGTGAGTCCATTTCAAATAGGTAAAGAAATAATAAATAAGACTTACTCAAAATCAATTTAATTTAACTATCGGCAGTATATTTAGAGTACCGGCATCATTTGTTTAACCTTGTATCGAGACCTGAAGATGCTTTGCATATTGTAGAAAGCGAAACCGGTCGTCTGATAGTTAAATTAAATTGATTGTGAGTAAGTCTTATTTATTATTTCTTTACCTACTTCGACATTTGTTGTGTGATCTGTTAAGGGAATATTAAGTTAGTCTTCTAAATACCCACATTTCAAAGGCCTCCAACCGGTTTATCATAGTGGCCTTTATGGTCCAGGTTTCTACACCATATAGCAGTATGGAGTAAATGTAACATTTTACAAAGACATAGCAAGGTTCTCATATTAGTAAATGTTGTTCTGGCTTGCTCAATCCTGCTACGTATCTCTATGTCTGAATCTAAATCTTCAGTTATCCAACTACCGAGATATCTGAACTTGGGGACCTTTTGGATGTTCTTATTGTTAACTCGTATATTTAATTAATTGCATATTTCGTGTTCTACTAACCACCATTACCTTCGTCTTATCTATATTAATCTTCAAGCCCAGTCGTTCTCCTTCAGTGTTTATTCTATCTATCAGTCGTTCTAGCGCTTCTTGGCTATCAGCTATTATGATTATCATCAGCATAGCGAAGATTACTAATAGTCTGTCCGTTGATTTTGATTCCGTCTTCAGTGTCACTTAAGGCTTTATCGAAAATCGTTTGAGAGTAAAGATTAAAAAGGAGGGGGTGACAGAACACAACCGTGTCGCACACCTTTTTCAATTGAGAAATATGATGTAGATTCCAGTCCTACTCTCACATATACCACTTGATTCACATAAAGGTTCTTTATGATTTTAAGGTCATTCTCATCTATCAAACGTTCCTGGAGCAATCTTTCTAATTCTGAATGATTAACACAATGGAACGCTTTCTGGTAATCTATAAAGCATATGAAGACATCTTTTTGCTGATCTCTGCATTTATGAAGTAGGACAGTTAAGCTATAAAGTTCTTCTCTTGTGCCAAATCCTTGTCTGAAACCGAACTGTATGGGATTAATGTCTCTTTTACATCTGTTATATATTCTTGTGTGAATTATCTTTAAGAAGAGTTTGAGAAACAAGATAGATAAATACACCGAACATACACTACGGCAATACCAACAAGGCTTCTGAAAGGGAAAATCGACTATAAACGCAATTCACCTACTAACACAACTGATCGAAAAGTGCTACGAACATGGCATACATTTATACCTACTATTTGTAGACTTCCACCAATCCTTTGACTCTGTAAATAGACAGCAACTTTGACTCGAAATTCAAAACATTAATATACCAGCATACTGATGGTAATGGACAACTCTGCAATAAAAGTTATAACAGACGAGGGCAATACAGAAACTATCATGGTAGGAGCTGAATAAGAAAGGAATTCCCGGTAAACATTTGAAAATTGACTCCCTCGTATGATTATTCCTTCTGTTGATTTCCAATTTGCGTAATTTTAAATGTAGGTAAACGAAACTTTTGTTCAGTAGCATTTCGTATTTATGTTTATTTTCAGTTGTTAAATGTTTCTGTTCTACTGTATAATTTTTTTTTGTAAGTAATTTTCCCTAGTTGGAGATCTACCGATTATTATTATTTTTTTCGTTTTTTTTTTCATTAGAAATTGGTACTGTGTTATCTATCAATTAGTTATACCTATCTTTTGCCTATACCTAACCTATCTTTTGCACCATTTTCTTTTATTATTTTATATTTGCTGCTTTTATGGTCCTTATAAGTACCATTTTCTTTCTTCTAGAGTATTTTTAAATTATATTAGTCAAAAAAACTTATTTAAAGAAGAAAAATAATCAGTTTCTTATCATTTAACCCAAAGGATAATGCCGGTTCTTATAAAATACAGTAAACACGTGTCATAAAATGTAGTAGCTATAGTATGTTTTTACTTATTAATCATATTTCCTACATGAAATCAGTATCTTGGTTGTCTTATCAAGAAAAGTATAACTTTTATTAGCAAATTAAGACCAAAATCCTGCTCATTATCAAATCGTATTGAATGTAGTCGTTGTAATCAAAGTACCTTTTAAACACGCATCAATGCTGCGGTTTTGCCACCGGATGCTTTCCGCTCGCAGGAAACAATTAAGTAGAAATATCTTGAATTTGATAACACCTATCCTTAAACAAAACGTTTATTAATTAACAATTTTTTCTTTACTTGCAAAAAACGGCTAGTGGAGTGAAGGTGATTTTTCTAAGGTAAGAATATATCCTTGAGCTTTTTGAAAATAATTATTATAGCTTTGTTTTATGCTGGTCGATATAATACAGTTTATACACAAAATATTCCAAGACTTTGCAATAACTAGGTATTTTCCATTAATATATACATATAATAGGAAATACGAGAAGATACGAGGAGATACGTTTGCTGCAGAAATATCGGCGTTATTTTTTAATTATTTTTAGTATGAATTTTTTTGGAATTTTTTGCTTACCATTCAAACTGTATCTATACTTAAATATCAACTTATTAATTTGTTGCTCCAAAAACAGCATAATGAGACAAAATCATTTGTTAATAATTATAAATTTTATTGTTTATACTCTATCTCATCGAAGGTACAATTAACATATTATTTCCAATCTCTGAAGTGATGTTTCTTTACTTTTTTTTTGTTATGTCGGTTATCCTCACCTAATGTTTTATTATTTTTAGTTGAGTCAAAGCGAAACTTATTTCATCTATAATTTTCTGAGATATCTTCCAATCATAAACGTTCAAATTATTTGTTGTTTAACTCTATTTGGTCAGAAATAATAATAAAATGAAAAAGCTCGCTTTGTTTGTGGATCCGGCGTTTGTGGTTTAAATGGACCGAATTTAAAAATCATTTTTTGTTCGTATTCGGTGAGGCTGCTACCAAAATTTTCTCAATGTTATGAAGAGATATTAAGAAATTATTCATTTTATGTATATTTTCGGTGGGATCTTTTTCAATTTTTGACATCTCTGGCAGGCCACAAGAATCTAAGAATAAAGTAAAATTCAAGTTATAAAAAAATAATCTTTTTTTATTCATTGGAGCCCTATTACTTTACTATAATGTGCCAAACTCTCAAATAAGTAAAAGATGACATTGGATGCGAATTGTTACACTAGTAGATAGAAACCTAGTATACCATGGCAATCTAAATCACTTTGGCCATCTTGTTGATGAAAAAATAAAGAAATTTTGGGCATCTTCTTCAAAATTTCTTCCTTTGTTCGTTTCGTTTTTCTTTTCATAGCTCCACTGAGGTACTCTCTTTCTCTTTCACAAATTTTTTTTTCACAACTTCACAATAAAGCCACAAAAAGCCGCAAATAACTCAGACTAAAGGGCTGCTTGGTAGAGTTTATTGCCAGGATATAGATATCTGTAATAAATCTATAAGGCGGTTTTATTTCTTTGTATCGGCGGTCAAAATAAATCGAGTAAGAGTATTATGGCAGCAGTAAAATTATTATAGTCTTTTTAAGTGCCTCACAAAAGCGGTCAACAATCTTATTACTGTAGTAAAACCTTCAGAAGATTGACTGTACGACCTAATAGTAAAACTATGGAATAATTTTAAAATTTGTTTTAAATTGAGTTTTGACTTGTCGAGGGCCCCTGGTATATTGAACACGTGCTTTTCAGTTTTTTGATCCCAAGTAAATTTTGCGAAATATTTAACCTTCCCACTTCTTTTGGCACACTCTATATAATATGTAAAAAATTTCTATTATAACCGATCGCATTTCTTGTGGTTTATAGAGGAGACTCAGTTTATAATTATTTATAACATTTTATCTAAATTAAGATAAGCTGCTGTTCTTTTATAGTTAGTTTTATAGTTTATTCATTTTATTTCCTAATATAAATGTTGTGTCTTAATCTAATGTAAGATCCAAATTCCTATCGTCCAATATCACTTACGTGTTGTACCTGCAAAATTTTTGAAAAAATCCTTAATTATCGTCTTAAATGGTACCTCGAAAACAATAACCTGATAAGTATCAGACAAAGTGGATTTCGTACGGGTAGATCCACAACAGACAATATAATAACACTTGAATCAAGTATACATGAATCCTTTATGCACAACCAAAAACTTATTGCCGTATTTTTTGACATAAGAAAAGCGTTTGACACAACATGGAGACATCTTATACTGAAAACACTTCAAGAATGGGATGTTCAAGGGCACATGTTGTTCTTTATTAAAAATTTTCTAAAAGCACGAACTTTTCGAGTTAGAACCAATGGATTTACATCTTCCAGACGAGTACTTCAAAACGGCACTCCACAAGGACCTACTCTAAGTCCTACTCTCTTTCTAGTTGCAATAAATAGTATTATACATTAAATAAAACTACCTGTATTTACTAGCCTATATGCAGATGACTTAGTCATTTATCTAAGAACAAACAATGTAATTCTGGGAACACATATACTGCAAACTACCTTACACACAATTGAAAGCTGGTCGCAAAACACGGGTTTTATATTCTCTAGTGAAAAGACACGTTATTAAATTTTTAGCAAAAGAAAAAATTATCCTAATGTTCAATTAACACTAAATGGAGTTGTCCTGAAACAAGCAGAAGAAATAAATTTCTTAGGACTTTCTTTTGAACGTAACTTAAACTGGGAAACCCACATCACCAATCTGCAACGTTCTTGCCAATCCAGAATTAATCTACTAAAAATGCTGTCAAATACCTCTTGGGGGCAGATACAACAACCTTACTTACTCTATATAGATCATTAATACGAAGTAAACTAGACTACGGCTGTTTATGCTACGATACTGCTAACAAAACATCTCTAAAAAAACTTGACTACATTCAAAATATGTGCTTGAGATTAGTTTTAGGTGCAACAAGACCTAGTCCAGTAAGTAGCTTACAAGCTCTGGCTAATGAACTGCCCTTAAGCCAACGAAGAAAACTCCTATCACTAAATTACGTTGCCAGAATTTCAGCAAACAACAGCAACGTAACCTACTCAACAATACTTAGCAGAACAAATATATCGTCCGATCTTTACAGAAACATGGCAATAAAAAAACTACCATTTCCTGAACGAATAAAACATATTGGTCTTAATTTAGAACAGTTCAGTTTTACTATGCCTATTCATGTAAATGTTCCTCCTTGGATGATCAAATCTCCAAAAATCGACACGTCTCTAAAAGAACTCCCGAAACATTCCACACATCCTTTCCTTATACAGCAAGCTTATAAAAATATAATATCCAAATACTCAACAACCCATCAAATCTTCACTGATGCTTCCAAATGTGATGAAGGACATGCTGCAGCATACATCTACGAAAACGTCAAGTCTACCATACGAATCCCAACAAATTGTTGTATATATACCGGAGAACTTACGGCAATTCACCAGGCTATGAAAAAATGTGGTTCTATCAATGAAAGAAAATTTGTTATCATCACCGATTCAATGAGCCATAGCCACCTTCCCATATGGGAATAAGTGGTAATGAGGAAGTGGACTCTCTGGCAAGCAATGCAACCACTGACCAAAGTATTCCTATCATAAATCAAATGCCTTGGACTGATCACAAAGTTAATATCAAAGCCCACATGTACAGAGCGTGGCAAACTACTTGGGATCATACTGCCAACAAACTTAAAGAATGTCTAAGTCAAGTAGGAACCAAACTCATCTTACCAAATAATAGAAAAGACCAAGTCATCATCAACATACTCCGAATAGGACATGCTTTCCTTACCCACAAGCATATCTTCACCCAGGAGCCTGCTCCGATGTGTACCAAGTGCAACACTCAGTTGTCAGTGAAACATATAATTGTTAAGTGTCCAGTGTACCAGAACGAAAGAATCGCGTGTGCCCTTAGTGACAATTTAAAAAGTGTACTAACGTCAAATTTACAGGCTTTATTAAGTTTTCTTAAAATGACTAAACTATATACGAGATTGTGAAAAATATTTTTTTTATGTAACAATATGTATCTTACTGTTTGTGTATGTCCCCCTGCTAATAACCCTTAGTGGTTGATGCGGGTATATTTGTTTAAATAAAAAAAAATGTTGTGTCATCATTCCGGCGTGTTTAAATGCATTTTTTGCTTTAGAGTATGTGTTGATTGGCTATCTTAGAGATTATTTCAATATAAAGTTTTCACCCTGATATTTATATATTCTTCGATACTAAAAACTTGTTTTAATAAATGTATATAACTCGCGCACAATAAACAAGAGAAACAATAAGATATGAATATAACATAGCCAGGGATGCAAGCGAGACGTCATATCCTGCACTTTCTCCCGCATTTTGTCCCGCGGGACTGGTCAGGACGCGGAAGGGGTCATAATGTGGGACGGGACAGCGATTTTTGCTGCGGGATGGGACAGCTTTTTTGCGGGACAGAGGTAGGGGACACGGGATTGGCGCGTTGTCCCGCGGAAAATCACGCATAGTTAGTTCTGTATGGACCGGAATTTATGGAGATGGTATTGTTAGCTCATTATTTTTCCAACAGAATTTGAACGAAGAAGTATATTTAGCATTATTAGACCACAACTTTTTGACCGATATTATCGAAAATGATAACAGGTACTCAGAAGATGATTTGCTTTTTCAACAAGACGGCGCATCTTTGGATTTCAGAATAAACGTAAGGCTATACCTTAATAAACGGTTTCGTAGGTAACGGAATGAACAAAGAGGTTTTATTAGATAACCAGTAGGATCCTCCAACATAACTCCCCTGGACTTCTTCCTATGGGGTTATTTAAAAGCAAAATTTATAATACCATTTATGCTTCATTTAAAAAACTAAGTCGACATGTATATATGAATGTAGTCTAGTAACCCTGAAATACTTAAAAATGTTCGACGTAATTTCGAACGTCAATATAATTTTGAATATTTAATTAAATAATTATAGCTGATGCTTAAACTGTTTTGAATTATAAATTTATTAATTTTAAATTAAGTTCATTTTATTTACGTTACATTTAATAAAGTTTTACATTACATTTAATAAAAATTTGAAATTTACAGTAGTAAAACATAGCCGTAACATTTAGCATTAAGCATTTTCACAAAATCCAATCAATATTATCAAATATAAGGGCAGATTCTTTTAAGTAGTCATATTATTTATTACAATATACTCTCATTTTTAAACCAAGAAGACATCTTAAGCTTGTATTAGAATTATTATTAAAAAAAGTTCTTATG